GGGAATCGAACTCATGCGAAAGTGGCTTTAGCTTTTTAGTGCAGTGCTTTAACCTGCTGCGCCACCAGGGAGGGCCCTAGAATTTGAACATTTTAGTAGACCTCCCTTTATTTATATTTGAAAATTTATTTATGCATAAAATAACTGGGGTACAGGCCTGAGGTGCAGGAGGTTGAGAAGATTCACCAGAGACAATGGGGAGCAGAACAGGTGGATCTACTGAAATGTACTGCTGAGCGGAGTAGTGGACAAGACAGGAGAGATCTGCTGCACCATGTAGATTAGCTCTCTGGCTGGGGATGAAACTCATTTCACAGTGGCTGGCAATAGCTTGATAGTACTGAGACTTTAACCCCTGTGCCATCTCTTTGGACTGAATTTTGTGAATTTTTCTTTCACATAATTTTCTTTAACTGCATCTAAGTTGTTTCATGCATGGATACTTCAATTCTTTTTATAGCATTTCTTCCTATGAATGTGATCTAATTTAACTGTTCTTGTGAGGGATATTTCAGTGGTTGCCTATTTTTAGCCATTATGAATTGATCTGCAGTGAACATGCATGTAGAAGAGTTTCTGAGAGAAGAGTTTCTCTCAGAAACATGGCAAAACTGAAATTGCTGGGTCAATTTATATTTATAGTTTTAAAAATAACTACCAAATTATTTTCCAGAGTGGTTATACCACTTGACATCTCACTAATAATGAATTATGGACTTTTTTGTCATTTGTGCCAACATTTAATGGTATCACTATTATTTTGGTCATCCTATTAGATGTTTCTTAGTATCTAGTTTTAGTTTTAATTTGCACTTCTTAATTGGGTCTTGACATTGACTATCTTTAATATGTTTATTTGGCATTGATGTACTCCTCAATGAAAATCTATCCATATCTGTTGCCTATTTCAAACTGACTTATTTGTGTTATAAAATGTTGAATTTTCAGATTTTTTCCCTACATATACGAATTTTGTAGGATATGGACTTATTTTTTTTGTGGATTTGTGATCTTCTGGTTGTTCTTTTCCCACAACTTTTCAACCTTGATAGCTCCTTATAGCTCTTAACCCAATGCAGCTATCTATTAACTTCAAGTTTGAATATATAATGCCGTGTGTGTGTGTGTGTTTGTGCACACTCACACACAGTCACACTTATTGTATTTCCTAATTCCCTAATATGCAAAGCAACTTCCTCTCCAGTGCTGCATCCTGCATTTTTCAGCTATTTCTGCTGCTCCTGCCATGAATTTTTGTCCTCTGGTGCCTTAACGAGGTGAAAATGTCATGTTCTGACTAGGTATTTTCAATTATCAATTATCTGTCCTGAGAATTTTCCCTACCTGCTACCTATAGCTAGGTTTGATTTTTACAGAATTGACATCAAGTTTTCCTTCATTCTTGTATTATAGTTTTGCATTTTTTGTTGACTTCCTGAAATCACTTCCCTCATGTATCCTGTTCCATTTTGTTTTTATTACAATGTTAGTGTGACAACATTTAATTCAAAAGTTTCATGGCCAAAAGTAGAAGCTCTTTCTTCCTTAAAGTAATGAATATCTTTTAATTAATCCAATAATAATACATCCACTTTCTTTAGCCTTTGGAGTAATTTAAAACAAGAAAGGAAGCTCTACTTGGATATGAGATTTTTAGTAAAGAAGGATTAAAGGCTAGTTGACATTTCTTGATAAATGGAGCAGAGAAAAGAAGGCTTTAAAAGTGATGAGTATGTGATATCATAACACATTTTTCCTTAATGTAACATTTTAGCACATAAGTGCCAATTTATTTCCTCTAATTTACAAAACATACTGTAAATCACCTGTAATCAGCATATAATTGGAACATATTTTGTTTTTAATTTTTGTCTATTTTCAGGAGACTAATTTCATTTACATATAATGCCTCATGGTTGTTTGTATGGTAGTTCTAATTGCTTAACTTAGTTGCTTAGGTAATTACTTTCATTTAATTGAGTAAGTCTGCATAAATTATATATGTATAATTTTCTGTGATTTTTACTAATACTGGAAGGATTAGCTGCTTTTCTGAGAACATGTTTGAAAGTCATTGATACAGATAATGTGGTAATTTGCCTAGTTTACTATCACAATTTTAAAATTAGGTTTCAGTTAGTCAATACATTTTATTCAGTTATTTTTAAAATAGCTCTATTTTGCTCTACTTTTAAATGCAAAAATTATTATTAGACAATATAATTTAATGTGTTCTAAGTGGTAGTTCGCAAAGGCAAATATGATAGGAAAAATACAATAGCATATAGAACATAAATAAATAATATAACATACAAAGTCTTAAATTTATATCAATTATATTTAGGAGTTGAAAAAGTTATAATGCATTTAAGGGTATAATTACAGACTGTTGGAAAACATTAAAGTTTATTCTCTATAATTTGAATTTGAAGTTTTGTAATTCAAATTACTACTATGTACTGAGTATCATTTTTGAAAAGTTAAAAGACATGTTTCTATTTTCAGCTAAAAATACAGAGTTGATTATAAAACGTGCTGCTCCTCAAAAAAATGGACTTTTAATCAGTTTCTACATTTTTCTACCTATCCTCATTTTAATTGCCACTGTGGCTCTTAAATTGTATAAAGTGAAGAGATTTCAGAACAGAGAGGGGACAGTAAGTGAAGGGTAAGTACATTTATTTGTCATATTAACTATTAAATAGATTATGGGAATGATGTAAAAGTAATCCACAATATCATTAAGTAGAATCTTTTGTATGAATTGGCTAATGATCCAAAATATTGAGATTTAGTTAGTATGTGCCATGTTGTTTCAGATTTTAGGCTCTTAGGTATCCTTTATGCTCTTATTAGCCAAGGAACAACTGAACTTAATCTGTAAGTCTTCACTGCCTTTCAAACAACTTGCTGCTTCTTAAAAGGAAAAAAAAAAAAAGACTATACAGTCATGTTGGTTATAACTTTTATAAGAGCTTCAATCTAGTTATGAACAACTCCATTTACCTCACATGCCATTAAATTGTGCCATGGAAATGAGTAGATATAGGTGTCTTGCGAATATGTAGAAGGTAAGAAAAATACAAGATATTAACAAATGAGGGAGGGGACACAGGTAGAATATATATGATTTTACATATAAATAATGTTGTTTATATGTTTCTATACTGAGATTTTTTTCTTTATCATAACACCAGTATAAGTCTCAATTTACTACCAGTTTGTCTCAATTTACTTAGAAAATATTTAGGAAAATGAGATGCAGATATTAAAGGAAAATGGTTCTGTTTCTCATTGATGTAGATGGAGATGAAACCCTGTCAGAAAATTTCCACTAACTCCTGTTTGCCAAGTTAATTAATTTTACTTATCAACAAGTTAACAGTAAATAGTTAAATACAGGGTAGCATGATTTATTTAGACATTTTAATAATCTTCAAAGTGAAACAAAAAGACTCAAGTATCTAGCATAAATATTCCTGTGTTCTTACGTAAGAGATCTTGGAAAATTCTGAATAGCTGTAGAAATAATCCTGAGTTTTGGATGCTATAACAAAGTCTCACTGATCACAAATAACACACTCTGGTCATGCCAACCTATATTTTAGAGTAGCAGTCATGGTTTAATGGCAACAAGGGCAAGATGTGATGTAGAGGTGAAGCCCAAGAAGGTAGTAATAAGCTGCAGCGTCAGTACCCGCCATTCTTTTTATCTCCTCAGCTTTATGAGACAGACGCTGACATGCTGCGTACTGCGCTAAGGAGGCAACTTATCCCTTCACCTTTATAACTGACATTTGCTGTTGTTGCTTGTGTCATGCTCTCACACTTAGCCCAGCATCCCTAGCTAAAGCGCAGTTCCAGGGCCTCCCTGTGGTGCTCCCTCAGCAGTGTATTTCAGTAGATCTGTCTTCCCACTTTGTTTCTGGTGAATCTTTTCAACCTTTGTATCTCTGGTCTAACCCCCAGTTCTTGCATATAAATAAGCAAATCTTCAAAAAAAATCTTTAGTTTCATTGTCAAATAAAATTCCAGCAATCTATCCACAGTCAATGCCTCTTAGTTCATAATCTCAAAAAGCAGAAGAAAATAGCCACGTAAGTGTGCCTAATTTAGAGTGTTCTGTCTGGATTTGTATCAGTGAGGTGGGTGTTCTAGCTTGACATCATTTGTGACCAAGGAACTATAGCCATCGAGTAGGAACCCAGACACCACATAACTCTTCCTCAGCAGAACTGTGTATGCAAAGGAGTTTTTTTTAAAAAAAAAACTGTATGCTGTTTAAATGCACTAAAATATTAGCTATATGTAACTGAAAGACACTGAAGCCTCAATAATAAAAGTGAAAGACTGTTTATATTTAATTGATATAAATAGTTATAGAGACATTATAATTTAAGGATTTGAAGATTTGGAAATAAATTATCTTCTTTCCCTATGGAAAAATATTATTGTAGGAAAAATATATCACAGAATATAACAATTTTTCTTCTTGTGTCCCATGTAGACAAGACAGAGACAATAAATAAATGGACATAGCAGTAAAGTGAATATTAGTACATTATAACTGCATGTTTAGCATAAATCTTGTTTTTAATTTTTCTTGGTTTTGCTTAAGATTACAAAGGCTCCTAACCCTAACATTCATTTTATTTCTTTTATACAGATCTATTACAGAAGACAGCACTAGTAACAGCAACCAGTCATTGACTTAAAGGTGAATTTAAGAAATAAAATTACTGACAATGATAAATCATAAAACAGTTTAAATTTTTTAAACAATAATTCAGTATAAGAGAACTCAGATTTACATTTCATCATTTTGACTCTGATTTGTCAATAATATTAAAGCAAAGACTCATACAGCATTGAACTTAATTTTATATTTTAAAATTAATTAGCTTAATTTTATATTTTAATAATTTTGAAATATTTAATGTTAATGAAATTAGCCAACACTTTTGTAATGATATGACTTTAGGGATATTTTAGTATATTCTTAAAATACTTATGAACATCCAGACATCATGTTCCCTTATTTAAGTTTCCAATTGGTAGTTTGCACAGATTGTCTCTAAACATTTACATTTTCCCCCCTCACTATGACACTATAGGTATGTTATCCTTATTTTAGAAATGAGGGAGTGGACATAAAGTATTAATTTCCTGTATGTACAGAATTAGTAAATCTTGGAATTTAATTTGAAATCATCAAATGTCAGGGTTTATACCCTTAAGACTGTAATGATTTTGACAAATACAGCCTGAAAAAGACTGGGGATAGGGAAGGGATTTTATATTATTGAGGAACTATTAGATCCAAGCAAAAGGCTAATTTCTCCAAGGAAGAAAGATAACTTTTTGCTGTAAAGTAGTTATCTGTATATGTTGTTTAAATTTCTAACTCAATGTATAAAGTATTTGTTAAAAATTTAGACCCATCACTGAGAGTAAAGGAAAAAAAAATCTAAAGTTCCACTTATCTGCCACCCCAACATATCTGCTTTTGCTCCAGAGTTAAGTCAATAGATCTCTGCTTCTTTATCAGTCTCCAAAGGGGAAATATACATACATATCTATATACATACATATATAGATACACACACACATATATACATATACATATGTGTGTGTGTGTGTGTGTGTGTATAAATTTATTTATGCTTATAGAACTGGGGTACAGGCCAGAGGTGTGGTGGGTGAGAGGATTCACCAGAGACAGAGTGGGGAGCAGAACAGGCAGATCTACTGAAATTCACTGCTGAGGGCAGCAGCGGGCGGTCAAAAGTCTGCCACGTGATGTGAGTCAGCAACATGGGCGGAGACCAAACTTGTGCTGTAGTGGCTTTGCAGAGCTTCATAACCCATTGTGCCACTAGGGAAAGCCCCAAAGAAAACATTTTTTATTTCTATCCTCATTGTAAAATCATCTTGTTCCTGCTTACAGGAATCTTGACATTTCTTCAATAACTTGTTTAAAGGTCCATGTCTTAGGTGAGAATTTTGGCATGTAGCTCACTGTCTTATGTCCCTCAGTCACAGTGTCATCATTATCCATGTGACTTTACCTTAGCTCACCACTGCCATCCAAATTCAGGCATTTTTTTTTCTGAGAACATTGTACGGAGTTTATCATTTCCTGGGTTTCTCCCTACTGTTAATAATAATACAGTATCTTGCTTCCTTTTAGTTTCTTACTTATTTCTTCATAACCTCTTTATACTAATAGTAAGTTATGATTTGAGTGTGTAGTATATTGAACAGTGATTGAATATGTAGAAAAAATAAAGAAGGTAGCTGTCATTGGGAGAGTTGGGAAGAAACTGGATAGCAATTTTAATTTGGTTCACTGAGTAGATCCTGTTGCAAAGTAATACACAAGCAAAGAGTTGGAGTGAGTGCAAATATTTTTCAGCTTACTTATTAGAAAAGAAGTCATCTGAATTCACATAGTCAGCTGACATTAAACTTTTATTTTAATGCAAATGATACTCTAGACGTGTGAGAATTCAGACAAACACTGGGGAGTCAGCAAGACACCTCATAAACATTTAAATTTTAAACATATTGTCCTTTCACCGTCTTTATCTTGGCAAAAAGTAAGACTAGACATGCAGACTTTCCAGACAGACAGAGGTTTTGCATTCTGAGCTGGACAGACCAGGAATATGGTGAGAATGGGAAAGGCTGAGACAGGGGACAGTGATTTTCAGTAATATAGGAACAAAACAGCGCCTGCCTAGAAAAATAGAAGTGTTTGCTGAAATGTTGCTGAACCAGCCCCCACCTAGAGTAAGGTCCCATAACAGGATAATTAGGGGATAGAAAAACAACCACCAGGAAACTTTCGGACCACCTCATCTGGTATATTGGACAACAGGAAGTCTGAGAGTATATAGTTAGAGACAGGGCTAGAGTAAAGTTAGCATCCTACCCTGGACCCGCTCCTGCTGTCAGGAGTTCCTTCTTCTTGTTTCAGGAGGTCCACACTTGCTTCTTGCTCACATGTTTGTTGTGGCTGTTGTTCCTCAACTGGTGAACAAACCAGATCCATGAGCTTCTATTCTCCTAACAATTCTACCAGTGACTCTGTTTAAAAACTGGGTTGCCTGACTGGATTGCCTGATGGTGGGTCCTCACCTGTATGCTTAAGATTCATTGCAGGTACATACAAAAAGGTCAATAATGGGTTTATTTACAAGGGAAACTGGAAAATTAATAACTCAGGGTGAGAGAGAGAGATAAGTTAATTAATGTGTCCTATTAGCTCTGCTAACCTGGAACCCCAATAGCATGCTGAAAACAGGTGAAGAGCCAAGAGACAAGCCTTGAGCCATGAGGCCAAGAGAGCGCCAAAGCCCACATGTCTGGTTTATATCCAAATTTGGCTACTTCTTTAGCTTCATCCTCAGGTCCCAGTTTGTGTCTCTTTGGTATTGATGGGATTTGTAGTTCCAGTATCTGGGGTGGGAGTGGAGTCCATGAAACCTGTATCTATAGAGTTCATTCAGGACATCCTTTCCCTTACAAATCAACTCTATCTTTCCTAGACAGAGATTGGCAGAGTTACACATGCATCTATCTTTCCAACCACATAAACAATTCAATGAAAAATAAGTCAGGAATGCTGAGTGGCAGTGATGCCAGTATATTTGGAGTTTCAGCAAGAATGTCCTAGTGATTAGGTCAGAGAAGTAATATTGTTGTAGGATTTGGGAAGTATTGGATGCCATCTATGTTTTACACGGAGGAAAGGGAGAAATAATAGGAGGCTTTAGATTCCAAGCACAGACCAGTCTGTTGAAAATAGCATGACTGCAAGGGTCTACGTGAAGAAGTTAGTTAGTGGAGAAATTACAGTAATGATCCAGAATGGAAAGGGTGATTGCTCAGAGCAAGAATATTAAAATGTTCTTAGAAACAAAATCTAAAGATGAACCAAAGTAATGTACGGACAGTTCGAATGTATGTAGTATAAGAAAAAGTGCATAAATAATGTTTATCGATACAAAGCAGAGAAATACAAAGGTTAAATGCCTCTATTTCTAACGGTTGTATAGTGTTGTAAACTAATGATATCTCGTTAAAATGAATTAATAATAAAAATTTATATTAAAAAAGCATGTGTGTGTGTATCTATATCTCATGAGCAGTAAAGTTCTGTTATACCATAATAAGGTGTATACATTTTTTCATATATGAATAGGAGCATAATTAAAAGTTTTTTTTGAAGTGGTAAGGGAGGGATTTTGCATGATATTTACAAAATTATACTGATATGCTTTGCTATGTATTATATACTATACCATAACTCACAATTGATAAATATAGCAAAATTTGTATTGATAGAGATTACAAGTTTCATTGGGATAGAGTAAGGGAAAATTCATTCAGAAATTTAAACTAGTGAAGGAGATAAAACTAGTGAATATATAAGAAAGGTATGAAAAATAAGACTAAAATCAAAGGAAAACAGCAAAAACAGTTTTGAGAGATGAAAGAAGTGGAATTAATTCAAGTTCTAGCTGGATGGATATATTTGTGTTAGAATAATAGAAAACTGCAAAGAATCTCAAGAATGAATAATGGCAACTTTTACTAAAGATACATAGCATAGTAGTACAAGGTAAGAATCATTTGGGGATGGAATAATTAATTGGAGAGTAAAGAATGACATTGCTCTTGAAAAGTCACTTGGTTTGGTAGATGTGAAAAGCCTTTGAAAATTCACAGACTTTTGGAAATAGTCTTTCTCCTAGACCAAAAAAAAAAAAAAAATCGATGAATTAATAGTAATTATTTTCTTCACTTGACATAATCATTTTCCTCTCTCTTTACTGGTGATTTTATTTTAATTATGTAAAACTTAGAGTGTTTAAATGAAATTTATATAAATACAAGTTGTTAATATTTCCTTTTAATCTGGTTATCACAAAATTCAGGAAAAAGCTAAGGCTGACAAATTTAGTATAACCAGTGTCTCATACTACCTGCTGTAATTACAGTTGTGTAGTAAAATTAAAAGGCTGTTACAACAATTCAAATTAGCATTTCCATGTTTCTATATTTTTTCACAGCCGTTAACCAAACAACAATATATAAACCACACACTTTAGAAAGAATGCTACCTTGAACTGACCTGATTGAAAAATGAGAACCAATACGCTTTTCTTTCCTTTTGTTATGGCTTAAAGCTTTCAAATTCCTAAACAAAAATAAATCCTTTACAGGAAAGCATATAGGTTTGTGTTTATTGATTCTTTTACCCACTGCGATCCTTTAATTGGAAATAAACAGCTTTGCCTCTTTGAAAACTGCTGGGTCCTCAAATTCCCAGGTCACAGTAGCAGCTCTCTTCTACAGAGAGGATCCCTTTGGTCTGCACCTCTCCGGTTGCTCACGATTCTCCCGCCACATTCAGCTCTAAAAAATGGTGAGCTCTTTCCATTTGTCACCAAATACTTGGAACTGAAGGGAATTCTACAAAGTGAAATAAACCAAAAGCAGAAAGACACTCCTTGGTGATTTTGCTAATATGCAGATACAGGGAAACAGGCTAACACAAAATCAAGCCAAAAGCAAGTCCCCAGGCTATCAGTGGGGCAAGGAGGGTGGGGGGTGACACAATGGACTACATGGAAGACTACTTGGGTGCCTTGGTGGTCCAAAGAGTAACACACATCTGAAGAGGCGGGGCCTTTATTTTCCTAGTCACACACAGTATTTATCCTTAATAAGCTACTGTTAATAAAGTTACTAAGTAGTTAAACATGAATTCTAAAGAGATGAAAATGCACACATTTAAGCTTTTCAGTTTCCGTTGCCAAAGCGTTTCAAAACAATATCATCTATACTATAACTGATTTAGTGTTTGTTTTGCAATGTTCCTGTATGTGTGCACGTGTATGCGCTTTAACCTAAAGGTTGAACAGAAAATTCTCAGTAGTATGGTTAAAGTAGGCAACTGCCTGCTTCTAAACACATTGTGAATTTCAATGTCCTGATTTCCTTCACTGCAGTAATTCAGAACTTGTACTTGAAAATTGTAATGTGGTCTACTACTATTACCTTGAACATCACCAGCAAATAGCCTATTTCCTGTGGAGAAAGAGAGCTTTATAACCATTATGTTACCTACCTCTGAATGCATTTAAAATGCTAGCTTTTGAAAAACAAAGCTCACGCTGGCAAGCTTCCATTTGTTATCTGTGTGTAGCGAGTCATGTATGGGCATCCCTGGATTTCATACTGGGTTCTGCATCCACGAGGTTGCTGCAGACCCCAGAGCATCTTCTACCTGACCACCGGGCTGCAACTTCCTCTGAGGCTCAGGCAGCTCACTGTGCCCTCCCCCCTCCCCTTTCCCTCTTCTCCCTGCTCTCCATCCTTTACTACCCCTCAACTTCCCCCCCATTCGCCTCTCCTTTCCCCTCCTTAGGCCCTCACTCCTTAATCCCCATTCACCCCGCCCCCCCCCCCAGGCCTTCCAAGGAGGACCTGGAAGCACGAGCTGTAGCGGCCGTTCACCAGTTAACCGAAACCAACAAGCCATTGCTGAAACCACCAAGCCACGGACACAATGCTCTTTCTCTTGCTGATCCTCTCACTTCTGGGCCGGCTAACTTCTGCAAACTACAGTGAGTAGTTACCCTTTTCCATTGGATATTTTCCTATCACAATGTTCCTGGGCGTGAGGCCATCATCTTTGTCAGACTAGAAATTCAGGACAAACTGGGGAGAGTGAGGAGTGTGGGGAGGTGGGGAAATGACAAAGCCTGGACGAGTTTCCTTGCTCAGGGCTGAGGTCATCCCAAATTGTCTCTAGATAGAGGTAAGGGAGTGCATGCACTTCCAGAGGAATCTCTTCCTAGAACCCGGATACGTATGATTTTGTCTCTGTGTATCTTTGGGGTGGACAAGTTCAAAGATCCCTATCGAAGTTCAAAGAGCCCTATGTTGTGAAATGGCAGGTAAATGAAGAATGAAGATGTTGCTTTGTATCTTGGGGAATGTTCACAAGGATTTTCCTTTCTGCAGATTCTGAAACATCGTTTCTACAAATCACGATACCACAGAAGATTTGGACAAACAGGTCCGATGGCGATGAACCAGAAATGCATGTAAGTAAGAAATCAGGTATTTACAAATATTTTTTATTCTTCTTGAACTATATAACACAAAGCAATTCATGCATATCGCTTTGTAAAATTTTGTGTTCTAATTACTGCATTTAAAAGCCATTTTGTTTAGATGAAAGCAAGTGTATTGAATGTTTTTTTCATTTCTCAAGTAATTTAAGAACATAATGAAAGTATTTAAAAACCTAAATTGAGAAAAAAAATACTGCAAATGCCTACCACACAATATAAATATACAAAACTCTGCGTTTTCCTTAGAAAATAAATACCTTATTTTCTAGAAAATAGGTATATGATTTTTAAAAGGATAATATACAAAAGATAATATGTAAAGAATCTGTTCATGCTTGTACTTTCATATATGCATATGGAAATATTTGTAAAAGTGACTAAGGTATATATATATTTTTGGACTAATGGTATTTTTAATCCAGTTAAACTCGTATAGTAGGGACAGTAATCTATCCTTGATGATTTCACTTCCCATGGTTTCAGTTACATGAATCATGATTCAAAAATATTGTGAATAAGATGTTTCCATAGAGAGAGAACATTCACATAACTTTTATGATATTTTGTTTGAATTGTTCTATCTTATTTAGAGTTGCTAAACTCTTAATCATGAATGTACCATCAACTGGTTTATCAAATTTTAGACATATAGTTTCATAATTCTTCTTTTGTATGAAATTGTTAACCTGAAATCTCAGGAAGCTGTTAATAAGGAAACACACATTTATTTGGTATGAAAGAGTTGCAATTCAGGGAAACCAAGTACATCTAGAAATGCAAATAGTGTTCCATGTTGGGACAAAATTTAAACCTTTTTTTAGAGATAGTCAGGTGAAGTAACCATAGGGCAAATTTATCAGACATAGGAATCAAAGATACTTAAAAAGTCCACTTTTATGAGTGCTTTCAAACAGGATTATCCCATTTTGCTGGCTTCTTGGAGTTATGGCCATGGAAGTGCCATTGTGAGTAAGGCGATTCCCCAGGTAAGGGTTACCCTGCCTCTAATTTAGAATGACTCCACGTATGTCAAGGTTTCACTTTTATTGAGATTTTTCTCTGAAAGAATTGCTGGTGAATGAATGCAAATTATTGCTGGTCAATTATTGGATTGAGTCTCCCCACATGTTCAGTTTTTTTGCTGTCTCCTTACTTGGAAGGCTCATTCTACATCTTGTGTGTTGGACTGAGTGGGGTGGGACTTCTTCAACAAGAGCACCAGAGCAGCGTAAGGTTTATTCTCAAATCCAAAACCCATTTCCTGCTTCTATTCCTACTGCTAGTGCTACACTTGATGTTATGTGAATCATAGATAAAATCAGTCTAATTTCTAATGAGTCAACAATATTTCAAATAAAAATCAATAATGCATCATTGTTAGTGATTGCTCTGCTGTTTTTATCAATGTTTTCTATCTTCAGAGATAGTTATAAAAATCTTTTAAAAATGTTGTAGAATAGTTTTCTGAAAACTGCCAAGTCACAAATTGAATTGGGTTAGCACTTTCAGAGTATACTACTGAAAAATTGCAGTTAAATAGAGCAAAACCAATTACCTGGGATTAAATGAATTTATAACAATGCTAAAATAATTTATAGATTTAAAAAATATATATATGAAATATAGTTTCATTTTAAATTTTGGTCATGAGTTATATACGAATACAGTTGTGGGATAATTTTGGGGGGAGTATTGTTACAGGGTAGCCCAGAGTGAACTGGGCTGCCTGACTGTGGGACCTCACCTGCACACTCACAATTCGGTTATACTGCAGGGACACACTAAAGGGAGTAGGGGGTGGAGTCCATAAGACTCTGCAGAGTTCCTTTAGGACATCCTTCCCCTTAACAGTATGTCTTCGTACAGCCCTTTTTATATGAGACAAAAAAACACAGATTAAAACATGAAAAAAATATCAGAATAATTTTGGGAGAGACCACAGTTTTCAATTGCCATAAAGTTATACAAGACTGAACACTAAAATGAAGGTAAAATAACCAGGAATTGTAATGTCAACAGTTAGTTGGAGAAGAACATTAAACAGATATTTTGGTGAGAGAAAAGAAAATGAAAGAATTAGAAATAGCTAATATTACAAGTGAGAAACAGATGAAGTGTAAATAAAAATACGAAAACATAACTACAAAGTGTTGCTTTAGACAAAGTAAATTCATAAAAATATAGCAAATCTGACACAGAGTAAATAAACAACTATGTAAGGAAGGGAAAGAACAGGAATATGAAGAAAATGACTACAGTTGGGGTGATGAGAGGCTTTTATTAAATGTGGGCTGTCCCTGGAGAGTAGTAACTGTGTGAGCAGGCCTTTTGTAACTGAGCACTGGGCCGAGAAGCTCAGGAGATGCAGACTACAGTGGTGTTTGTCATTGAGGGGATACTTCCTGTAATCTTAACCATGGACTGAAAAATAGATTTAAATTTATTTGTGCTAGTAGCTGTATTGTACAAAAAGAAGTTAAAATCAATTTTCTTCAAAGGTTACTCAGCTTTTCCAAAGTAACAATTTTAAATAAAAATTGCATTATGATACTTAAACACACATGAGTATTCTTTTTTGTTTTGAACCTGACTTAGAATTTTGATTTTATTTCTATTTCATTGTGACAAATACAGTCACACAATCCAATAGGGAAGAAATATAACCGTCTACTTATACGTATAGGCAATTTTGAGACATTTATGATGTAATCTCTGTTTATATTAAAGAGCACATTTTTTTTTTTTAATAGCAAGGACAATGTTGAATCCATGGGCAAATAGAGTTTCTTGGTTTCATAGTCTGTTTTTCACTGGTGTCTTCTAGCACAGCTGGCCTAGTAGATAACATGTAGCCTTGATATGTAGTTCCATGTGCACAGAGCAGTAAATAATAATGTAACCCTGGGGCATCCTTGGTGGTGTTTAAGTCTCAGCACTGTGAAGCTGTCAGCAGTCACTGCAACACAAGTTGGTCCCCAGCCAGGCAGCTGATCCACAGGGTGCAGAAGACCTGTCCTGTTGCCTGCTGATCCCCTCAGTAGTGCATCAGTCAGTCCACCTGTTCTGCTTCCCACTCTGTTTCTGGTGAATCCTTTCACCCTTTCCCCACACCTCTGGCCTGTATTCCAGTTCTTGTGTGCATAAATAACTCAATTTTTAAAAAGTAATATAACCTTGATGTATAGTTTTCTTGCTCAAAATATGCTTGCCTAAACTAGGCCAAAACTTCCCTCTGCTGACTTTGTCTATAAATCACAAACGAGCTAATAGGGCTCCTGGGCAGGCCATATGCAGGTCATTCCTAGCCTCTCACTGGCCGTAGGGCCACGACTGTAGCTGACACTGCTGCCTTGCAGCTTTCAGGCCACACTGGGCGGGGCTGTTCGCACCAGGCCAGCCAGACAGATAATGATGGCACTACCTGTATATTTCCTGTTCTGTAATACTTGTTCCCAGCTTCCCACAGATGGGCTTCCTGACTTGATTTCTAGTCTGTCATGGTGGACCCCTGCAAGCTTGCAGTTAAAGTAGGGGAGGCTGGAGCAGATAACAGTGATAAGGTGTAGAGCATGAGAACTTTGGTGGAGGGTGGGCAAGCCCTGTGCAGATGTCCAGTTGTGAAGCTAAGCGGTGTGCCCAAAAGTATAAAAACTGTAAACATGTTAATAAAATTTAATTAAAAAATTATGGCCTTCTTTTAAGAATTTGGCATTTCTAATAATTTCTTGTCTCTTTGAATACTTTGTTGTAGGTTACATATGCCATTAAATTTGACAGGAAAATATATACTATTCATCTTAAAAAACAGTAAGTGAACTTTTTGTACACTTATTTTTAGTTCTTAAATGCAATCACTGTCCTTAGTTGAGCCAAAATCAAAACATGAAGATTATATTTATTGAAAATATTATACCTTCCTTGGAAACCTGACTAAAATTTCAGTCTTCATCTTGAGATTTTTAAATTGAGTATTTGAGCCAAATACTAGTTATGTGAATATTAATATATACCAGCTACATGAATTTATTCTATGTCACTATTTAAGATTAAAACACAATATAGCAAGTAAGGACATAATTTTACTTGTCCTTTAATTTTATTCTTACTGTCATTTTACATATTTATATGATTTTTCAGCATTTTACTTGGTACTACACTAAATATTCTCATATTTTCAGTTTCTTAAATTTTATTTAAGGAAAACAACATGAGTGATCATGTAATTATCTTTGTATAATATTTTATTCTAAATTTCATCTTTCCCTAAAAACGTATAGGAACCTACCCCCTAATTTTTTTTTGACAAAAACAGAATGTTTTGTGACTGAAAGCTATTATTTAATACTGGTATTTATTTTTTGCTTTATTTAAATGTTTTACTCTTATAGGATGTGATACAATAAGAAATATAGCTATTTCCATAATTGTCACTATAATGTTTTGTAATAAATATCTTTGAACATATATGTATATACATATACATGTATATGTGTGTATGTATATATGTGTGTGTATATATGTGTGTGTGTGTGCATATTAGAGTATTTTTAGAGTTGATAAAAATGTTTGGAGCTCTGTTATCAAGAAGTATGAGTAATTATAATAATCATAATAATAGTAATAACTATATTGAGTGCACACTATTTGCTATGTATATTTCTAAGAACTGATTTAATTTTGTAACAGTCTCTCAGGTAGCCATTGTTTATTAACCACAATTATACTATATCGCTATTTTTGAGACTTACTATCTATTACTTTGTGAAAAGACAATAGCAATTTAGATTTCCAAAGGATGCTTGATGTACTAAGTTCTTACCTCCTTCTCATTTGAAGGTCAGTTTCTTTTTCCCTAAATAAGTTCTCTAAACATTTGTTAGCTATTTGCATTTCCCTCTATGAGGCTTGTCTGCTCATATAGTTTCCTCTTTCTAATTATTATTCATCTTATGTACCTTTAAATTTTCGATTCACAGCAAAACTGAATGGAAGATATAGAAATTTCCCACAATTCACATGTCTTCCCTTATCTGCCAGAATCATGTATTTGTTAAAATCGGTTATCACACACTGGCACATCATTGGCAGTCATCTGCAGTTCACAGTTCCTATTAGCCCAGTATTTTGATTGGCTTTTCTGAGTGATTAAAAATATAAAGGGAAAGGGCCCTCCCTGGTGGCGCAGCGGGTTAAAGCACTGCACTAAGAAGCTGAAACCACTTCCGCATGAGTTCGATTCCCGTCTGCCCCGGAGGAGACCACATGGCGAGGCAGACCTCTCCTGACCCGCCCGCTGCTCCCCTCAGCAGTGTACTTCCTCGATCTGCCTGTTCTGCTCCCCACTCTGTCTCTGGTGAAGTCTTTCGCCGCCCTTGAGTCTCTGGCCTGTACCCCAGTTCTGTATGCACAAATAAATAAATCTTTAAAAAAAAAAAATAAAGGGAAAACTCTCAGAATAATATATAGGTTCAGTGTAGTCCCTATCAAATTTGGAATTCTCAAGAAATAGACGAACTATTACTGAAATTTATATGGAACAACAAAAGGCACCAAACAGTTAAAGCAATCATGACAAAAATAAAAGTGAAATGAAGGGCGCAATCCCATACTCTAGACTAAAACCAGATTTGTTTATTCAGGTTCATACAATCCTCTCATGAATTTATGTTTCATTGTTCTTAAAAGTATTTAAAATTCTCTTTATATATCGAAGATGTAAATCCAAGTTTCATTTTCATTGTGTAACAACTGTGATGCATTTTCCAAATATTGTCAGTTGGTTTTATTAGTTAACACACTGCTTCATTTCCCCCCTTGCAATTTTATGTGGAATAAGGTATCGTATAGTTATAATACTTTAGTGTTATTTTGTTCAGGTCAAATATGCACACTACATGCTTTCTTATTCTGGACATATTTACAAGTTTATCTTTTGTCATGTTGAATGATATCTTGGTGATGTGTACAGTTTGTGTATCTTATTATTTTTCTATATATTTTCTATTTTATTATAGTCCATCTTCACTGAATTTTCTGTGTTTTGTGTGTGTTCATGCATGCATGCTTGTGTGTGTGTGATATGATACAGTAAATTTTCCTGGTGTCGTAAATCTTTTTTATAGTTAAAAAATTTTACATATGTGTTTGTTCTATGGGAAATCTTTGCTTCATTCTGGGCTTTGTTTTTTCCTCTATATATTGAAGGTTTTTTTCCCTATTACTATGTCCAAATCTTTACTTATACTCTTTATTTATCTAGATTAGTCATCTAATTTTTTTAGTAATCAAATTACCCTTGGCACATTTATCCAGTTACTTAAATTCAACATTATGTAATTCAATTTGATAATATACTTTTTACTTTAAATTAGCTCCTTTGAATGTTTTACATTTCTTGAAATTATGATTCAGAACTAAGTTTTAATGCTACCATCTTCCTTTTTCTTGTGCATTTTCTTTATATTAGATGCTGTTTTTCTTTGATGATTTATTGTATTTTTATACTTACCTAACTAAGCCAGACTGTTTTGTTGTTTGCCATAGAAGCAACATGGATAAGCTTGAAAGCTCAGAGTAATAAACTTGCATATTAAATTTTCTCATTTTAATTATTCTTGACATTTTTCTTTCACATTTTAACTTCTAGTTTCTTTTCCTTGGGAACTGTTTCTGGGTTGCCTATTCTACCATCTCCATTGACATGCTTGTGGTAATTAAAAGATTCAGTGCTTTTCCTGTAATGTTTGCAGATGTGAACTTATGAATATCAGGTTTTCTCTGTGAAGCTCTTTAATATTGATGTTTGAATTTAAGAAAAAGATAAACTGTCAGAAATATGAGAAAATAAAGCAGAAGTGTAAATAGATGTCATGGTTAAAGAGAGTTCACTGCAAATGATATAGTTTCTCTTTTATTATGATCCTGAAATGTCTCTTGATAATGGAATCCTTGAGATATTCCAGCCTCCCTATAATGTTAGATTGTTGAAAATAAGTGTTAGATTGTTCATACAAATCACTATCTCCTCCATAATAATTTGTTCTGTTTAGAATAGCTTTGTGTATTAAAATAATTTATGAAATTTAAGTAAAACACTAGTATCCTGGCTCCCCCCCAAAAAACTTTTGAGAAATATATTATACTTCTATAATATTTTCCTTTCCTTCTCTACAAGAAAGACATCTTCCAGGGAGGACTCATGCTTTTTCCAAACTCCACTTGAAGGCTAAGTGCCCCTGAACCTAGGGTAAACTTGTTAATAACATTTATTGTGTTTTATGACACAGCAGAACTTTATGAAAACTAGTGAAAAATCATGCATTTTCCATGAATGCAGGACCCTTATAAACCGCATTTTTAGCTAACATATTTATGCATGAGTGACTCCTGATTGAATCTCAAAGGAAAATGCTTCTGTGGAAATCAGGAAATGTTGATTCGTACTACACTGAGGTCTATATCATTACATTCATACCAATACCTGGTTATACTAGCTGTTTATTCTCACATATTCAGTATATTACCAGGGCACAAGCTAGAGAATGGAAGGATGACTCCATTTAATTTTGGGGTGTTTGAACTTGTAAAATTTGATTTAATGATTGTAGAAGTTAAATTTACTCGCTACATTATTACAATAAAGTCTCTCTCTCTCTCTCTTTTTTTTTTTTTGGTTGAATTAGGTCATTTTTAGACCCTGATTTTCTTGTGTATTTATACAACACATCAGGAATATTGTACCCAGATTTTTCATTTATGAAGGTAAGTCTTAGAGATTAACATGTCTTTTTACATGTTTTTGGCTAAGGTGTCATTGGTGGAAAGAAAACAAAAAACTGTATATTCTATAGAACTATCAGACAAATAACCATAAATCCAATAATGATGCAACAATTACTAAGAATAGTACAGCTATTTTTAAAGTTTGTACACAGGATTCATTTATCAAAAAAAGTCATTTAAAGTAGCTAAAATTATTTATAGGATTTTGAGATGAAAGGAAAAATAGTTGTCAAAAGAAATAAATTGCTAAACCCACTGAGAAGTTTTAATATACTATATGAAATATTAAAATCTATAAAAAATCTGACATAATTGATAATTCATAGAACCTGAGCACTGGAGAAAATGCTACACACTATAGGAAAGTTACAAGGAAAGTGAGGATGCAATAGATACTGGGAACAGGAAGTTGGATTTAGTTTTCTGACCCAAGCAGACACATAATGCCTTTTGACTGTTGAGTTCAGTACATTAACAATAAGGGAGATTATTAATATATGAGGTTTTGCTAATTCCATTTGCCTTCCGTTTTCAAAAGTGCAGGATCCTAGGTCGGGAGGTGACAACAAAATACGTTGCTCGTCAGAGAGAACCTTAGAGCATGAAAGACCCCTCAGCACTGTTACTATTCATTCTGGCAATTAGGAGTTTTGGCAAGACCCGGTCTCTGCCTAGTCTCACTGATGTGTCCTTTCTTCTTCAGTTGAGGATAAGTCACACAGCTGATACTCATTTCTGTTTTAGTGGGAATTATTTGATTGATAAATCTTCAGTCTCAAAAATTCTTTTCACAGCCATTTCCAATCTATTATTGAGACCATCAAAGGTATTCTTCATTTCTGTTACAGGTACATTTTTAACTCTAGCATTGTTTCTGGTTCGTTCTTAAGTCTTTCTATTTACTCTTCCCATCTGTTTTTCCTGAATGGTATTCATTACAGTCCTTAGAATAATTATGGTTTTTTAAATTCCCAGTTTGATAATTCTAAAATCTGATGTCTCTGGTTCTAATACTTGCTCTATTTTTCAATTTGTGCTTATGCCTTTTGAAATGCCCAATACAAGATTTTTTTTTTCTTGATAACTGGAAGTATGTACTAGGTAAAAGAATCTGCTTTAAACTTGCCTTTAGCAACACAGTAACAGCATTTGGGATTGGGAGATGTGTTCTCTAGTGTTATAATTAAGTCTCAATTTTTAATTAAACGTATGCTGCTAGACTATGAACTTCATAAGTATTTCTCAGCTTTCATTTAAATTCACCCTAGATTGTGGGACAGAATTACTAGAAGAGGCTGTAGTTGAATATTTTCCTCCTCCACATAAATTAGGTTCTGATCATAGTTCAGCAAGTTAGTTTCTAATTATGCAGCTTCCTGAAAGCAGAGGTGTCTTATATTTTTCAAAATGGTTCTTTGCTCTCCATGCTGATGGCAGCATGACTGGACTCCTCCCCCCCCCCCAATATTTAATGTACCTGCCTGATCAAACTCCTGGAAGGTAAATTGCACAAAATTGTGGGGACCCATGAAGTATTGTCTGCAGTTTTTAATTTTCAAATATATCCACTCTATTCTTCAATATTTTATTAGTTAAAATCAAGTTTTTCTACTCTGGCATGTTTTCTGCAACACTTTTCACTTCTGATTCCGCACTTCACTCAGCTGTGACTCTCTATGTCCCTCTTCTGCTGCTTCACTGTTGGAGGCTGTAGTGTGCATATCTAATATTTGTTTCTCTCCTTCTGACATATTTTACATATTCCCTTAGCATAATCCCCACTAACTCCACCCATGCTTTTGCAAATGTCAAGAGTTCATCTATTTTTATAATAGATGTGTAATTTTATAATAGGTTGTGTAATATTCCATTGAGTATATATACCATGTCTTCATATACACATCTACTTATTTCCACTTAGGTTAGTTTCATAATTTGGGCTTTGTGTCCTATGTGTTGCAATGTACATAGGAATGCATATATCCCTCTGAATTCATACTTGTGCATTCTTTGGGTAGACCCCTAAGAGAGGAATTGATAGACTTTCTGCTAGCTCTATTTTTAATATTTTGAGAAACGTCTATGCTCTTTTCCATAGGGGCTTGAAAAGTCTTTATTCATACCAACAGTGTGCAAGCTTCTGCTTTTCTCCACATGCTCACCAACATTTGTTCTGGTCTTTTTGATATGGGTCATCCTTATAGGTGTGACATGGCGTTTCACTAGCTATGTGTCTTCCTTCCTTGGAGAAATGCCCACTATCTATGTGTCTTCTTTGGAGAAATTAGATCTTCTAATCTTTTAGGTAGATTGTCAATTTTTGATGAGTTGTTTGTAGATGTGGGGTACTATTCTCTTGTCACATATTATGATATGCAATATTTTCTCCCTTTTGGTAAGGTGTCTTTTTGTTTTTTACTAGAAGCTACTTTTGCTCTGTATAAGCTTTTTAGTTTGATGAATCTTATCTGGTTTTGCTTTTTTTATTTGCTATAGGAGTTAAGTTCCTAAATATATCACTTATCTATGTTTTCTTCTATTTGTCTCATAGTGTCAACCTGTATATCCAATTCTTTAGTCCATTTTCATCTGGTTTTTGTATGTAGCATGAAATAATGGTCTAATTTTATTCTTTTATGTGTGATATTCAGTTTTGCCAACACAATTTTTTAAAGAAACGTATATTTCTCCAGGATATACTTTCAGTCCTTTGTTGTAGATTAAATCTTCATATATGTTTTAATTGATTTCTTAGCTCTTAATTATATCCCCTTGGTCTACCTAATTTTTTTAAATGTTTTGATTACAGTAGCTGTATAGTAAAGTTTGAAGTCTGGGAGTAAGATACCACCATTCTTTGCATTCTTACAGAGTGCAAATTTCAGTTCTGTTCTTCACATTTACGGCTTAGTTTTGAAGATCGTGACCAAGTTAAAGTTCCAGTTTAGGATTATCTTTTGTTCCACTGACAATTTAGCTATCTTGGAGTTTTAATACTGTATTAACACTAAAACTATACTACTATTAATATTGACACAAATATTAGTTCTTGTAGTGGTAAAATGTACTTCCCTTGACCACCTTGTATTGCTAGAGCAGTTTGGGTGATAAAGGATCCAGTGAATGCACCCCATTTTCTCTCATTGTTCTCCAGTCAATAGATGTCAGTATGCTTTGCAGTCTCTCTTCTAGTGTCTCCAGATTAGTGAAGTTCCAACTGTGGATTTGGAAGTGTTGAGGAACATATCATATATGCTACTGTGTGGAAGTCTAGGAGTTAAAGAGTCTAAGTTGATATCTGCTGCTGAATAAAAAGTTGTGATCTGCTCTGCCTTCTACCTCTGTAAGGACTAGCTACTGTAAGGTCAAGTAGGGACAGGCAGCTGTGACTTTTGCATGATATGGAACAGAATATGTACTCTTCACTGTCACTGGCTAAGAGACTTAGCAAGTAGTTCTGATGGAGCTATATGCTCTGGAAACTACTAATGTATCAATAAATTGGGCAGAAAGTTTGATAGTAAAATTTCATAACAAAGGATTATCAAAGGAATAGAATTGAATCTGCATCTCACTGGAAAAGAATATTAAAGGAGAATGTGGAAAAACAAATGACAATAAAGTTAACGAAGAAGACAATATTAACTAAAGGAGACAAATATAGTGAAATACCAAAGAGAAACAAACATGAGGAAATGTCATTTAAGATAGTTTTGAGTAACTTAGAAAAACAAGTGGAATGTTCAAAATTGAAGTTAAATTAATGAGCTTGATTACATAAGCAAGCAGTTATAAAGTGAGCACTCAAAAATGTAGCTAAGAAAAGATGCAGAGAAGAAAGTTGTTTGTCAAAATATTTAGAATTATAGCAAGAGTTATTTGGAACAGAGTAGATATAGTGATTATTCATATGCAGAAAGGAGTCAAAAGGAAGAAATTGCATATATTCAACAATGAAATAGAATATATGGTGAATAATATAATGGCTAACTCTCAATGTCCGATGATGTTTAGGAAGGAAGGATAAAATGGAAATTTTATTTATGAATTATTCATGATTATATATTTATACATTTTTTGTTAGGGCCACTGTTTTTATCAAGGATACGTTGCAGAGATTCCAGAATCTGTTGTGACACTTAGCATCTGTTCGGGACTTAGGTAATGGCATAATCCAGAGATGTTAGATTGAAAACATTGAATATGTCTTCACTTTTACTTTTTAGAAACTTCTTGAATAGTAGAGTCAACACAAAGAGAATATAAACTTAGATTGTGTTTCTTCTCGTATACTTTCTTTTTTGCTTTTTCTTATCATTTTTCTATTATCTTTACTCCAGGGTTGTAGTTATAATGTTTTTGTAAAAAAATCTCCCATTAACACAACAAATATTTGTATTCATTAGCCCAGCTTAAACACTATGATTACTAAATGCCATATAGAAAGAGTACTTTTGAATTTCTACATCATAGATACTGTATTTTACTTCTATAAAATGGTTTTTATTTGATCTTGATTTACATTTCTTAGTGGGAAATCTACATTATTACCATTTCTTTTCTTCTTTTTTTTTTTTGTATTTATACATTCAGGGGATTATTGCAGTTGGAGAATTTCAGTTACGGAATCGAACCATTGGAATTTGCAAGTACATATGAGCATATGCTTTATCAAATAAATGATAATAAAATTGATTACCCTCACTTAAAAGAAAATTACCCTAGGACTGAGTTGGCAGAGAAGCCCTATAGAATTTTTGTGAAATCAGAAGTAAGTAACACCTTTTATGACATCTTCACTTGTGTTAATTTTAATAATCTTACTGACATTGCACTTAGTATATTTGGAAAACAAATTGAAACTACTATATATTCAAGTTCTATTTTAAAAGATTAATGTTACATGTATTTTTATGTTTAACATTACCATATTTAGTACATATAACAAATATAAACAGACATAATTCCAAATCAAAATTCTTATAGTTGATTCATTGCAAGTATTTAAATATATAAACATAGTTGTGTTGCTATTAAATTTGCATGTTACTAATATGATATTGATACCGGTAGCTGTGCCATTGTGCTGTATAATGTTACTTGCAGTTATGCAATGGTGAGAGTTTGTTCAATATTCATCATAGCTATGGTGATATAAACTAGAAGTGGGGAATGATTATTGGTAGCTGGACTGTAAATTGTTACCGGTGGTGCCCCCTGGAGGGTTTCGCTGGTAGGAAAACAACAACAACAACAACAACAACAAAAACAGAGTGCCCAAGAAAGGTGCTAAAAATGGGATGAAGCCACAAAATAAGTATAAAAGGGAGCTCCAGAGAGCATGCGCGAGAGCTCCAGGAGTGAGTGAGAAGAAGCTGCGCAGACGCACTGGAGAGAGAAGCTCTCCGCAGCAGTGAAAGCAAAAGGCTGAGCTCGGGCTGCAGCAGTGTGCCTGTCTTGTTGGCGCGGACCACGGGGGGCAGCTCCATGAGGGGTTTGCGGAGCTTTGTGGGCAAAGGGCCACATGACAGAGGCCATTGTGTACAGCCTTGTTCAAATGGTTGTTTTCGAGGTTTTCTTAGGCCTGGCGAAGAGAAAGGGATATCTGAAGACAGACATCTTGCCAAAGCGTGGCCTGAAGTAAAAGGGAGACCCCCAAACTGGCATGGTGTTGAAGTCCAGCCCAGAGAAATCGGGGACCTAGAGCCAGGCGTTTTGCAAAAATGCGTGTGTGGACGTTTGTTCAGCTGCTACAGCTGTTGTCCTGAACTGGTTTGGTGCTGTGCTGGGCATTTTGGCCGCCCAAGGAGCATCTCCTGTTGTATCCTTTGCTGTGTTTGTGAATCGCATCCTGGCCTATAATGTGGCGGCCACTGTCCACCGTGGCAGGAAGACGCCATTTGAAACACATGACCTATTGTTCGGGAGAGGAGCTGCACATCTCGGTAGTGGGAAGATGCCATTAAAATGGTCTTTGGACTTGACTTTGGGTAAAGTAAATGGCCATTACTGGCGTCAGTAATGCTTTGTTTTTCCTGGTTTGTTAAATAAATCACCTTGTTATTCTCTGAACTTTGAGCAGCCTTGCAATTATGTGCGCACGTGAAGTACCCAGATAGTAATTGGTGAAGTATTTGGGCAGCGGGCGGTGACCAGTGTAATGTCCCCTGCTGCCCTGTATCAATACCTGAAATTGTCTTATAAGCTTATTTTCCTGTAAGCTTTTCCTTCCAATATACTTTTCCTTTGTAGAAAGTATCGTGTTAGAATATTTTAAAGTAGAAAGATCAAGAAGTTGACCAAAATAAAGTGTAGAGACAGCATAGTGCCCTTAGAAATTTTAAGCTATTTGTTACAATTATTTTCATATATCTAATTATAAATGTAACTATATTGCAAACATCACAACCATAGGCTCTCATAGTGGACTCCTCTATGAGAAGACACAGGTGATTTGACCTGACTGGCTTTCTACACAGGGTTGGGCGCCAGCTATGCTAGGTTTGGAGCCTTAGACTCTAGCCAATAGCCGTTATTCCGCACCCCTATGCATTATATCCACTGGTCATGTGCCCTCCGCCCTGCATGCCAACTCTGTGCACCTCCTTCCCCATTGCAGTGCCAAATCTCTAGATACAGGTGTCTCTGAGTCAACAACAGCAGAGAAGCTGCATATAGCAGCCACTAGAGCTACTCGTGGGTGATTCTAGCTCAGTCTGGCTGCAAGCACAGCTCAGTTACAGTACTTTTTACCTTTTTCTGCTGGAACTTGTTCTGATATATGTGGTACTCATGAGTCTTTGTCTTTCAGGGGTTGTTGATTTACTCTGCTACAGTTTAGTTGTGAATATATGGAGCTGGTGAGACTGACGTTTTCTTTCTGCCACAATCTTACTTGACATTCGTTTTAAAGAATGATCTCTTTAATGCTAGAAAATTGCATACCAAATTGTAATAAAATATATTTTGGGTCTTCCCTGGTGGCACAGTGGGTTGGAGTGCTGCACTGCGAAACTAAGCCCACTTCAATGCGATTTCGATCCCTGCTCCAGAGGTGACCCACATGGCGCAGCGGACCTCTCCTGTTGCCCACTGCTCCTCTCAGCAGTGCACTTTGTCAGTCTGCCTATTCTGCTCCCCACTCTGTTGTGACTGGTGTGAATCCTCTCACCGCCCCTGCACCTCCAGCCTGTATCACATTTCTGTGCGCTTAAATAAATAAAATCTTAAAAAAAATGTATTTTGACGTTTATTCAAAATTTTTTACATACAATTTTTATATACTCTTTCATTCCCCTCTCAGGTGTAATGCTCACAAAATTACCACCCCCGTGACACCCTTGAACCGTCACCATAATTTCTTCTTCTCTTCCCTCCCATATTTTGATTTCCCTCCATCCCCGCTCCTGCCCAGCTGTTATCTAATGACAGGTTTATGCATAAAATATCTAGTGGGGAGTTAGGAAACCAGATTAAGGAGCACAAGCATGTGAACAGATATTCAACATTATTACTATTCAAGAAACTTCCAACTGCCTAAGACAGCAATGCAGACCAATAAGAATGGATACAGTGCAAAAGTGTGACTGGCAGTCATAATTCTTGTTGAAAATGCAGAATTATCACATTACGTTATGGAGAAATTTGGCACATTCACACTACTGAGCACACCTACAGCTGACATGTAACTCAACATATGACATTTCTAAGTATTTTCTAAGAAAAATACTTGGAAAATAGCTGCACACAGTCCTGAACATAGTTATTCATATTAATGTCATATATAATTTCTAACATCTAAAGAATCCTATTCACCATCACCTGGCAAATGTATGAATAAATTGTGATATATTTCTAAAATGGCAAATTATATAGCTGTAAAAACTAATGAATTAATAACTAGAAAAGTACCGATGAATTCTTAGTAATATTTTTAAGGATGCTAATGCTTGTTATGATATATGATAAAATCTTTTTACTTGTTGTTAAAATTTTTATTTGGAATCTCAGTCATCTAAGCAGTGACATTCATTCTCTTCCCTATTACATCTGTATATTACCTGTATGTACCGTCTACCACCTGTCATGTCTCTATTTCATCTATACCTTATGTGTCTGTCTGTGATAATTACAATGTGAGAATATTTTAATGTTTATTTTAAATTCATGGCCTTTTCACAGAAAAATTCTGAAGTTGCACTAATTCAAAGAATTCTGAAAATACAAGTCATTATGGATAAAGCCTTGGTATGTATTACTAAAACACTTTATATCTTCGTTTTTATGTTTCAATTCAAAGATGATATGAAAAGTAAATGTACAGATTTGTTTACAGTACAGGTACATTTTACTATATTCAAAATACATATCTCAGTGTAATAAGACACAAGGAAATGTTGTCAGTTGCCTCTGCATTGACAAAGAACAAATATTTATGGTAGTGATTTCCAAATCAGAATAGAATCCTAGCAATAATATGTAACTTTGTATGACTGCGTACATGCTATACTTTGATTTATTGGATGATAATTACCTGAGTCCACCTCAAATAGTGAAACTTTTCCTTGAATTGATTTTTATTTTAAAGCAAGTTATCTATTCATTGCTCAAAAGTTATCAAGTGTGTTCTTTTATAAGATTATTTTACAGCTTTCATACTTTAAAGTTTTTTTAATATAAAAATAGAATGACTATTCATGACTCCCTCACTTGGTTTTGGAAGCTTTTGTGTATGCAGTCAGCTTTAGCAACATTTTTATGGGCAGCAAGTTTAAAAAACTCATTGCCCATAATTACTGGTATTTTTGCATAAAGTCAGTGAATATCATAATGTTGTAGTTTGTGCATAAATGGAAATATTTGGATCTTTATGCAGTTTTTATCAAAACAGTAACAAAGAGTAGATGGATAAATAATAAATAACAAAGCATATATTTTTATGACCAGAATATAGTATGTGCATTCTTTTCCTATTTATATATATGTGTATATAAACCCATGTATATATATTCATATACTAGTATTAATATTCATGAAAGATGATATATATATATACATTTTATAATCTCCCCTCATATTAATGAAATATATTGTTTCAATTTAGTTTTAATGTGTTCAATTATTTTAATATTATTTAATCTGTTTTACTAGCTAATGGCTTTTGGGGACATTTAGGTTTTAATTGTTGCTGTCGTTAGTGTGGGTCAATACTATTTAGTCAAAAACCTGTCTCACAAATATTGGATAGCATATTTTAAGTATATTTAATATATGTATTCTTGTTTTATATAAACTTTTATATATGCATATTATAGCTAAACTTTACTTGATCTTTTAAGACCTGATTTGTCTGTGTTGTCATTTTCTCTTTTCATCTATTTATAGCCAAGAAAACTGCAAAATATCTTTTACTATGATAGACAATTTCTATGATAGTTTGATTAAACTGTTTTTGCCTATATATATTTTTAAGGATTTATTTATTTATGCACACAAGAACTGGAGTACAGATCAGAGGTGGTGGGGGGGTGGTGGTGAAAGGATTCACCAGAGACAGAGTGGGGAGCAGAACAGGCAGAGCCACCGAAATATACTGCTGAGGGGAGCAGTGGGCGAGACGAGATGTGGATCATTTCGGGTCCAGGGATCCTGCTCACTCTGAAGGGCCCTTTAGTGGCCAACTTGCAGTGCTGTGTCCTAACCTGTTGTGCCATCAGGGAGGGCACCACTGTGGATACTTTTTAATACTATTTTTCATGACCTAGTGTTTGCTCTATTGATTGTGCTTACTGATACAAATGGATTCACTTTCATAGTCCTATTTTTGCTCTCAACTTTTCATATATTCAGTCTTGCAAAGGATCATCTTGTAGAAAATAAAGTCAATAGAATTCTTTAATATAGAGAAATAGTACCCTTCTAGCTCTTTAAATCTTTAAAGACTGTAGTTTGCTATTTCTCTGTGTGTAACCAATGCAGCATATCACGTATTTACACAATGCAGCATGCTTGGTATGAGTGAAGGTGGTCCTTTGCAAAGCCAAATACGTGAAAAGCAAATCAAGAGCCAAATATGAATACGGAAGTAAATCTGTATGTATCATATATTTCAGAAAAGCCCTCAGATAATTTTTTTAAAGGTTTATTTATTTTTGCATACAGAACTGGGGTACAGGCCAGAGGTACAGGGGCCGTGAGAGGTTTCACCAGAGACAGAGTGGGGAGCAGAACAGGCAGATCGTCAAAGTACACTGCTGAGGGGAGCAGCGGGTGGGTCAGGAGAGGTCTGCCACGCCACGTGGTCACCTCCGGGGCAGGTGGGGATATGTGAACTCATGCTGAAGTGGCTTTAGCTTCTTAGTGCTGTGCTTTAACCAGCTGCGCCACCAGAGAGGGCCGCCCTCAGATAATTTGTAAAAAAAAATTGCAAAACATAGTAAAGGTCATATCAGAGGAACTAAGACAGGAGTGGGCTCCTAGAAGATATCTGATAGGAAGTGGCATATAAACCATTTAAAGATGAAGATTCTAAGTAACTGGTTGTTTATTTTAACTGAAGAAAGAAGCATAAGAAAATGTAGCTTAGGTTATAGTTAAATGTAAGCAGGAACAAAAAAAATAACATAACAAAAAAATAATATATGCAGGGATCTGATGATATAGCAATGTATTAGAAACAATCTTATTAATTTAGGGTCAACAGTCTTACATAGAGATGTAAACAATCATTAGGGTGAGGTAAAGAAAATGTTAAAAAATAAAAAAGGTTCATACTTAAAACTTAATAAGTACTTGATAAATTTTATTTTTTTCCTTTTCACTGAGTACTACATTATTTTAACACTCCATTTTTTATCCATTTAAGATATGTTACTTGAGTAATTTTCACAAGTGATTAAGAAATAAAATTGTCTTTCAGTATAATTATATGGGCGCTGAAGTGACAGTTGCAACTGAGAAAATTATCCATATCTTTAGTCTTATCAACTCTGTAAGTATGTTACATATTTTATGTGTTGACTTAAAATAATTGTTCCCATACTCTTAACTGTTTAGGGGAATAGATTCATAACTCTTTAGGTACATATTACACCATACCCAGGAAGGCACCAATAACCATCCACCATAGTCCATAGGATACCCTCCACTCTTACCCTGTCCTGTCAGCCTTAATTCTGCAAATCATATTTCAAGGATTTATTTTGGTTTGGTTTTATCTCTTCCTCTGTCTTCTGTCTTTATAGTGTACTTAAGAGTGAAATTATCTGGCATGTGGCTTTCTTCTGACTTATTTTCCTTACTGTTATAGTCTGCAAACCAGAAAACAACACAATAGTAATAAAAACAGTATGACATTAAAAAAAATTGACTGATAAATGAAATAGAATTGAGAGCCCAGAAATAAACCCACACTTTTATGGACAGCTGATATGACAAAGGAACCAGAAACATGCACGGAGAAAGGAAAGTCTTTTCAACAAATGTTAATTGGGAAACTGGACAGTCAAATGAAAAGTATCTCACATGATACTTGAAAATTAACTCAAAATGAAACAAAGACTTGGCTATAAAACCTGAAACCATGAAATACATACAAGAAAACAAATGCAAAACATTCCATAACATTGGGTTCAAAGATGTCTTTGAGGAATAAACTGCAACTGAAAGAAGAAAAAAGCAGAAATAAACAAATGGAATTACATAAAAGCAAAATGTTTCAGCACAGTGGAAGAAATTAGCATTAAAGTGCAAGACACCCTATCAAACAGGAGAAATCATTTCTACTATATGTTAATGTATTTTAAAAACTTTTCTCTTAACATTGTAAAAATGCTCATGTAAATACATTTGCATTTTATGAAAAAGGGCTACCAACTAGTTTCATCTACTGGTAGAGTTCATATCCAATAAATACAACTTGAATATATAACTTTATGCATAAAAATATATAATATTATATTTTAATTACCTAAAACTGCATTTTACTTATTCTTTGGTTTCAGATGTTTTCCCAGCTTAATATGACTGTTATGCTATCTTCCTTGGAGATCTGGTCTCATAAAAATAAGATATTATCTGATGGGCCTGCTGATGAAGTGCTACGAAGATTTGTGTCATGGAAAGAAAAGGTTTTGTTTCAAAAGTCCAATCATATGGCATACTTATTAATGTAAGTATTTTATGTGCATTGATATAGAGTTTAACAATTTTTTTATATACTGGCCATCAAAATGATATATAAAATGTATTATTTGTAATAAAAAGACACCTGAAAATGATTGTATGAATATTGTGTTGGTGAATTCCAATACTAAAAGTCTGAATACAATGTAAGATACTAAGTAATGGGGGATTCTTATTTTCAGAGTGGACTGTTTACCTATAGAAAATGTAATTATCTGGAATAGAATGAAAAGTCTTGGGATAAACAGAAATGCTATGGTTTCAAATACTTTCTAAGTTAAATAATCAAGCCATCATTTTGATGTTAAATAGTGTAAGTTAGTTAATAAATAGCAATGATTTAATATAAAACTGGATATATTAGAAAATATACTTTCTTATATCAACCTGGATTTTTGATACAAGATGGAGCTAATTACTTGCTTTATGTATTTCAAGAGTTACATAGATTTTTGTTTTAATGTTTTGAGTATTTTAGGTAGAAAAATAAGCGCACAATTTTGAAGACCTTAGGCATTATGACATATATTTATAAATCTATGGTAGTTGGAATCTAAGTTCAGGTTTGCAGATTCAGGAGCAACTTGTATGATGGAGTGAAAGGTGTCAGGAAAGTTTCTATACCCTGCCTTTCTTTTTGAGTGAACCTAGTACGTATTCTATCTCTTCATGTCTGTCTACACTTTCTCTATCTACAAGTCTACATTTTTTATACATTTTAAGCACTACTTACTCTTCATAAATGATTGTAGTAAGCAATTCTGACTTTTTACATTGGAATCATATTCATACAATAGTTTCAACAATGGTTATAAATTTTTTTTGAAGGATTAGGTACTGCTGGTTTCTGTGCTATGTATCATATAAAGTAGTCTTTGAAACTTAATGCTGCAGGTACTGTGGGATATTACCCAAATGAAAAAATTACTGAAAGCATTATACATGAAATGTAATCATTATATTTGAAATAAAACAAAATTATTGAGAAGTTTAATTCTAAAAGTTCATTGACTTATTAATAATTTAAGTGCATTTATCCACAAGAAAACAATTATTATTTAGTTATAGGGATGATCCTAGTCATGTGGGAACAATCTATCATGGAAAAGTGTGTGATCCAAAGTTTGCAGCAGGAATTGCTCTGGTATGTATTTTACCATCTTGTAAGTAATTTTATCATATTTTGAAAACTAATGTCCACCTCAAGGAACAAAAATACATATATTCCATGTACCATGCTATTTTGACAAGTGTTTATAAGATGTTCTCTTTTTAGATTTTGAAACTTAAATGTAACAACTTTTAAAGTTCTTTTTTTTTATTGTGGTAAAGTTTACAACAAAGAATTTGCCATCCTTGCTATTTTTAAGTATGTTTCTTCCTTCTGCCTCATCAAGTTTGTTTTTGAAGACTTTCATGGTATAGTTTAGCTTATTTATTATATTGTTCAGTTCTAGAGTTTCTTTTTCTAATACTTATATCTCCCTTTAGTAGTTATACTTGGGATTTCCTTCAGATATGTATCTAGTTACTGATTTAAAAAGCACTTAATTTAATAAATCAAGTAGGCCAGAGGGGGAAAAATCATAAGATACTAGCAATAGAAGCAGAAGAAAGATTGTCAGTATTCAATGCCATTTATATTTAAATGTTTTAGTAAGTAAGAAATAAAACTTCTTCAACTTGAGAAAGAACGTTTGCTAAAAACCAGCAACTAACATTCTACTTAATATTGAGAGACTAAATACTTCCATGAAGTTCAAAAATAGAAAAAAAATGTACTTCACCAATTCTGTTCAGGATCACACTAGAAGTGCAAAACATAGAAATTGCCAAATGCTGTGAGATGTGGAGCAACAGGAATTCTTTTTATTCATTGTAGGTGGAAATATAAAATGGTATAGTCACTTTGGAATACAGTTGGCAATTTGTTATAAAACTTAGGATATCCCTATCAGATGTCCAGTGTTTTCTCTGACATTTACCTAAATGTTAAAAAATTTTGTCTACTCAAAGCATGCACATCAGTGTTCATATTATCCTTATTCACAATTTCCAAAGATAGAGGATAATCTTAGAGGATAATCTTATCCTCTAAGAAGTGAACGGATAAACAAACTAAAGCAAATTTATGCAATGGGATATTATTTAGTGATTTAAAAAAATGAAACTTCATGCCATGAAAGACCTGGAAGAAACTTAAATGCATAATGGTTAGTGAAAAAAATCAGTCTGAAAATACTCCATACTGCTTGAATCCAACTATATAGTTTCCTGAAAAAGGTAAAACTATAGAGATATTTGAGTGCAAGGTTTGTGTCTTGTTGACTTCATCATATTCCAAATTTTTATTTTGTTACACAAAATAAACACTATGCACAAGGTATATAGTATTCTGCTTGAAAAAATTTATTTTGATGCTCTTAAACTACTTCTGAAATCAAAACTTATTATTAATCAACCCTTTAACAATCTGTGTATTTCTTTCCATGTGTTTACTTGACAAGTTATATAGTTACTGAAGCAGTGCTTATTCCGCTCAAACCAAAATTAACTTTATTGGAATTTAAGTAAGTAGATCATAAAACATGTGACATTAGTCTTAGTTGTTACATATGTAAATTCTGTGCATAAAAATACCTCAAAGGAATAACAAAATTTACTTAATTTTTTCCATATTCATACAAAAGTATATTGTGATCTCATTTAGATATATGATTTTTTTAAATTAAAGAATAAAGAATAACTTAAAAGACAGTTCTGTTTTTTTCTGTTTAGTACCCAAAGATGATAACTTCAGAGGCATTTTCAGTTGTTATGGCACAGTTGCTTGGAGTCAATTTGGGCTTAACATATGATGACATCTATAATTGTGACTGTCCAGGAAGTATATGCATAATGAATCCTGAGGCAATGTAAGGTGTTATTTTGGAAAATCTTAACCTTGGGAAATACTTGTTGCATTCCTTGATGTATAAATATTAATATGTAACTTGGTAAGAATATTGCTATCTAATACTTATATGCTTATTGAAAACTTATTAAAGTGAATCTAATAGTTCTATATTCAGTCTTACTGTATAGACAAAATGGATGTTGATAATTTTTTTTTATGATTCACTAGCGTCTAGGGGTGAAATTAATTTATTTGTCCTAGAAGTATATAAAGCATTTCTACAATATCTCAAAGTGTTGTTTTATTTATTCTTATAACTGATTAACAATATAGGTTGTCCTCTATTTTTTATGTTGGTATATGAGACAGAAAATTTTTAAAAATTGACATAAAATACCAAAACATTCAGCTTATAATAGATGTCAAAGGGAATAATAGGAAACATATGAGGAGAATAAACTTTCTGATGAATGGCCTAGTAAGGTTTCTCTGAGATAACAATTATGCTCAGATCTAAAAAGAAGGAATACATTTGGTCAAGCAAAGAGCCTCTCAGAACTTTTCAAGGTCAGCAAATAAAGTGATCCTCAGGTGGAAACATGCATGAGAAGTTCTATATAGACTGGAATATAGAGAATGGGAGAAGAAAAAAGAATGAAAAAGAATGAGTTGGGATAATGAGAAGAAAATTTTAGTCACAGTTGTAAGGGAAAGTAAAATACAATGAGTCAAAGGAAGAAATCCTGTATATTAAAATCAAGATGTGTGTTAGGATTTTGTGATAAATGAGACATTTAAATTGGAGTATGCAGTATGAATAATTAAAATATATTGCAAATTGAATAATATATATCAAAAAGAATGATGCTGAGATATTGAGAGGTGGTAATTCTCACAATAGCTGCAATATTTTATTGAGAATAAGAAGAAGACATGTCAAGACTCATTTAAAGGTTTATGGCTATCTCAACCTCTGAAAAGGCATATATTTTTGGAAAGGAGAAAAATGAATGGTAAGTAAATATTGAGCACATATTCAATATGATATTCAGAGTAATCCTTTAGTGTTAAGTGCAAGTTATATAAGTGCAAGTCTGAATCTCAAAGGGGAAAAGCTCTTAAAATGTATGACCCATCAGCATAGTGATGGAATGAAAGCCATTAACAGATTATCTAGAAACAAGCTAAAAAGACCTTTTCAGAGGTTACTTATGTACACCAGTTATTTGCAAGTTGAGTAATTAAAGGAAAAGGAGTGACATGGAATGAGAAGGAAGAGAAAGACGAAATATTTGAATAACATAGGATGAAGTATTAACTAGGGAAGGATGTGTATTAAGAATAAGGGAGAGGACAGAAATCAAAGGATTAAAGCATAGCAATGTATTTTTAACTTCCCACAATAATCTCACAGAATAGAGGAAAACTAAGAAAACTAGCATAAAAGCAAAAGAACATTCCACAAGTTCCTCAGACAGGGACAGATCCAAAATACTAACAGGTGTGGCCAATACACTGACAAAATAAGACCTGTTTGGTGTACGTGATTGTATCACAGGTAATAAATGGGACACAATGGGGTCTCCAGAAATCTTACAGATTTCAGGAATCATTCAGTGCTCGAATCAAGATTTGAGACTGAACTAGCAATATGTCCATGGCACTGTGGAAGCTAAAACTGTCGGGGACACAGCAGCTTGCATGTGAGAACAAAGTGACTGTGAACATTTCTTTAGATGCTGGTGTGACTTGGATTCTGTCCTTAAAAAGGCAGCACATGTATCACCCATATTATGCTTTATAAATACTGTTCTCCATTAATAGGAACTGCCAGAGTACCTTGAAGAAGTGACTGATAGGAAGGCTAAGTAGAGCCTGGAACACCTTGTGTCTGACAATAAAGATGTGTTCAAAGAGTTGTGAAAATTTGTCAAAGGAATGAGAAACCAGATGCTCCCAGGTGAATTAATAGGGAGAAGTGGCGGAGAATTCCTGGTGTTGTGCATGGAAGAGGGACGATGAAGAAAAAGAGAAATCAAAAAATGTCCACAATAAACAGGACAAAGTGCGTAAGGGAGCAGGGAAGAAAAAGCAACTGTAATAAGTAAACATGAAAACCAGTGATCATCTATAAACCAGAGACCTATGGGGATGGAGAAGGGAGTAGAATCAAAACTGGAGTAGAAGAGTGCATGGGACTATGGCGATGGTGCACAGGTGAATTGGTGGTGGGAGGCCCATGGGGATTACAACTGAGATGAAAAATGCACAACATGACGAATGACATAAAAGTAAAAGTTAAAAAAAAAAAACTGGACAAGGAAGAAATGAGAATCAGTGCCCAGCAATCCTCCCACCTGCTCCCTACCCTCACCCACAAAGCCAGCACACTGCCCAGGAGGAGAGAAAAAGGAGAGGAAGTTTGGAGGCTGTGGAAGAATCCTGGGGCATCCAAACTACAAAAAGTGACAGGTGGGCCGCAGGGAGGCTAGCTGTGGGGGTTGGCTAAGGAGCCAGAAGAAAAGGTCTACAAAAAAAAAAAAAAAAAAAAAA